TTACTGTTTTAATTTTTCAGTTATAGGTACGTTAAACACAGAATGATACAATGTCACAGATGAGTGATTTCAATTGGGTTAATAGTTTTTACTTTTGGGGGGTGCTATTATTATTTTAATAAAGCAAGTCTGCTACCCTGTTTTATGGCCAGTTCCGCCAGGAAGCAGTCATCTCTGTGATGTTTTAGAGACTTCATAAAAGGAAACCCCCACTTGTCAAGACCATTTCTCTGACAAGGAAGATGAGGAGAAATTGTTTGTTTCTGGTGTGATTTTAAAATAGTTAAAAGGCTCTAATTTGGACCTTTCCATAATTGGGATCATGACCGAAGTATCATTCTACCAAAGCCTAAGACAAGTGGCCTCTTCAGTTTCGTGGTCTGTCACATGATTTGGCTGACATTGGCAAGACAAGCGTGGTTGAAAGATATTAAAATAGTTACTCACTTTTTTTGAGTTCTCACTACCTGCCAGGCAGTGTTCTAGGTGCTTTATGGGCATCGTGTCGTTTCATCCCCGCACCAGCCTTACGGTGTAGGAGCTTTTACTATCCCCATTTTACAGGTAAGGAAACAGGCTTAGTGACTTACAGGCACCCGGCTGACTGTGACCAGCAGGCTCTGCTGCCCCGCTTGTGCCTGCGCGACGGTGCGCTTGGATCACCCGTCCCACTCTGCCCCGCCCGGTGGTCGTTCAGAATTCCACGAGTGAGCCGGCAGCATCAGAGTTCCGGCAACTGCCGCGTTCTTACAGGGGTGCTTCCTACCGCTGCCCTCTTCCCAGTTACCTCCAGGCCAGGCAGCTGCATTCTGCTCTTGCCACTTAAGTAACAAGTTCACATTTAAAACTGAAGTTTTGAAGCAGCAGTTAAAAGTAAAATATGTGGTTGGAATCTTGAGGGGATCCGTGGGATTCACGCAGCCTTTAAATAGGAGAACCGTGCCTCTGGAGGCTGGCTGGACGGCGCCCTGTTGTGACCGTGGTTTCTGATTCCCCATCAGGTGTGTCAGGTCAGCGCGCAGCAGCCGGTCCAGGCGGAGCTCATGCTCAGGTACCAGCAGCTGCAGTCCCGACTGGCCACACTCAAAATCGAGAACGAGGAGGTGAGCACGCTCTCTGCCCCACAAATACTCTGAATTCTAATGTAGACTGGAAGACATTTTCACATGACCTGGGCAAGTTAACATTGTAACTGTAGTCACTTCATCATGTATTTTCAACTAGATCAGGGTTCCTAAAATACTGCTTATAGAGGATAAATGCAAAGGTTCTTTAATGAATGAATGCTGTACCAGAGATTTGCCGCATACACCTGTAAATACACCTTTTATTCATAAATTCTTAAATACTGAAAGTATTTCCCATAGATTACCAAATTCAACATGGGTGTCCAAGAACATACATGAATGTGTGGAATGAAACTTTCTGACTGACACATTCATTTAACCCTAACTTTTGACATTAGTACTTTTTTTTTAATGCTTCTTTGTGTTCTCTAGATTTTTGGTAATGAGTACGGCACTGCTGGCGTTCAGTGGTACAAAACTCATATTTTGAAATAGTACTTGAATGGAAGTATTAAACTGTTTATTTGCTGACATTAATAGATTTCAATGGACAGAATGTAACATGTGAATTTAAATATATGTTGAGCCAGAAAGTAGTCGTACAATTCAGCTGCCTGTTTCTGAAATTAATTTAATTGGATCCATGTTCTCCTTAAATGAAACTATGAACCACAGATATTTATTGTATTAGTCAAGGCTCTCAACTATAATTTATAGGAACCCAAATCAAACTTAGTTGAGTCAGAAAGTTCACTTACTGTCAGTATTTGCAGTCGGCTCTGTGGTGATTGGCCCTGTGTCCACACAATATCATCAGGAACCTCTCTCTTCATCACTTCGAAGTGATATCTTCATGTATGTTGGTAGGAGGTCTCCCCCTGCCCACTGCATTGGAAGATCGAGGACCGCGTGGTCCCTATAGCTTGACTATCTCACCCCATTCCAGCATCCTGAACTCTGAAATGGGATGTTTCATTGTCCTGACTTAAGTCACGCCTACTTCTGGACCAACCATGACATCCAGGAAATGAGATTCTGTCATTGGCCAGCCTAGGTTTTGTGTCCATTCATAGAACCGTTTGATTGACAGCCCCAAAGGAAATATATATTTCTAGAGGCAAACACTTTCCAAAAGGAAGGAATGTGGGACAGAAAGGAAAAAACAACAGTTAACTCTTGATAAAACAAATGACCAAAATTCACTTTAATACCCTCTTTTGTTCTAATCCCACTGAGATGTTTTGACCCGTGTGAATGTGTGTGTGTTCCTGTTGAGAAAGAGTGCTGTGTTTCTAGACCTGTATAGTTCGGTCAGAACCCGTTGCAGCCCTTCTGCTTTCTGTTCTTTCTAGAAGAACCAAACCACCCCTTATTCAAACATGTGTATTTAAGATGCGACCAGTGTGATTAAGGCTTCAGTCTCTGTGTAAAGTCCCACTAATGAGCCTTTCTAAGGGAAAGCTGTTGCTCTCCTTGAGGTGTTTTTAGAGCTTAGAGTTTTGGCAGGGCATCACAAAACACTCACCTAATGCAGTTTACTGGATCCTGTTAGACCCTCGGTTTGTTTGCCTAGTGACTTCCAATTTTTTTCTCATGCATATACTCTCGCGGTTTTATTGGGAAACAGTCTCCAAACTCTAGGAAAACAGTGTTTTATACACAAGGTCAAAGCTGGCAGCCCACAGGCCTGTTTTGTTTGGCTCCCACAGTTTGGACCTGTTAAAAATGTGGAAGTCTGGCAACTCTGGCTCTGTGTGGCCTCGTGAAGGGAAAGGCGGGGATACTTGAATTCCACTTCGCCATAGTCATTCAGCTCCTGATTTTCTTACATTGGCCTGCTCCGTTTATGTTGCCTGTCTGGCCCCCGCAGCCCTCTGGGTTTGTGACCTTAGTGTGCACATCCCTTTGGGCATAAAGTGTCTTTATAAACTGATAGAGGCAGACAGTGCTTTCTGAGGATTAATTTTTCCAAATTTACTGTAGAAACAAATGAACTGCATGGTCCTGATGTTTCTTGTGAACATGAGAAGTGGTTTATGATTCTTGGATTTGGAACCAATTCACTGTAGCCGATGAAAGTAAGATTTAAATTGGATTTGTGACAGCCAGTAGATTTCCATAGATGTGGAAAGAGGGAGAGATGTTTCAGTATGTTTCTAGGTTAGAGAAGAGAGCAGTTTGGTTATCACCCAGGTGAAGCTGAAATCATATGACGAGAGGTATCAAGAGGCAACTTAAAGAGTTTCGATGCTGTAGGTCTGTTCATTTCGGGACAATAAATATTTATCAAGCGATTTCTACATTCCACGTGTTTTGCCAGGTGTGGAAAATACAGAGATGAATAAGTCACAGTTAGCATCTGTCCAGTGCGAGGAGCAGTCTACAACAAGCCGTTTATGCAGTGTGAAAAATAAGGGACCTAACTTGGGAACAACATCAGCAACCGTTGCTGACTTGGGGTCCCTGTGTAGCACTTTTCTCCGCCGTAAATAAGGAATTTGCCTGATAGCCGGGCAGAAAACTGACACCTTGGTATCAAACCACAATATTCAAATAAAGAAACACATATGTAATTCTTCCTCTGCCCAAACTTGTATATACTTGTAAAGCCCAAAATTTACTGGAAAGAGTTTAGTTAACTAAAAATAATGATGACTGCCCAGTGAAAAGATTAGAGTTGAGGGAGAATTTCATCCAAGCTTACAGAAATGGGGATTGAGCAGCTAAATAGAACATGAACCTTTTCACCAAATCTTGGACAACTATAAATGGAGGGAGGGTATAGCTCAGTGGTAGAGTATGTGCTTAGCATGCACAGGATCCTGAGTTCAATCCCCAGTACCTCCATTTATAGATAGATAGATAGATAGATAGATAGATAGATAGATAGATAGATAGGGAAAAATAAAGGGCACCACTTAAAACTGTAGGAGGCCTTCTTCAAAGGAAGTTTCCATGCTAGGAGCTTATAGACTGTGTCTGGCCACAGAGAAATTTTGTTTGGTCCACAATGCTTGATTTCTTTTTTTAATTATCGTTATTAAATAATTGGAAGTTTTGGGGGGAGGGTATAGCTCAAGCAGTAGAGTGCATGCTTAGCATGCACAAACAAGGTCCTGGATTCAATCCCCAGTACCTCCTGTAAACATACATACAGACGTACATACATACATAAATAAATAAATCTAATTACCCCCCCAAAAAATAAAAATAAATTTAAAAAATAATAATTGGAAGTTTTGCATAAAAATATGGATATCCAACTTCTAAAAAATTAAAAGATTTTATCGTGCTAGACCTGCATTTCCGAAGGCCAATAACTGGCTTAAGCTGAGCAGTACATACTCCCCTTCAGCACAGAGCATATGCTTCCTGTTTGCCATGCTCCCCACCCAGCCCACTTGCCTATGTTCATTACTTGCCTGGCCCTGGAAGATTATTTGAGTTGGCAGCACCTGCCTTAAAACAAAGAAAAGAGAGCAGTAAGCATTTGTGAAACAGCCCCAGTATACTCACAAGTAGTAAAACCTGAAAGTAAAGGTGTGAGAAGGGCTTGATTAAATCTGTGGTTGACGCAAATTCATAATGGATTCTGCCATTTATTGTCACTTCACAACTTTACATTTGCCTGTTAAACATTTTTAAACGAGCTTTCAGTTCCATTACACTGTAAGTTTACAGTTCCCACTTCCAGTCAGCTGGTCCACAAATATTTGTTGGTGTCCCATGTGTATTGTGCCCATAGCATTAGAGCAGAGCCTGCTGCCCACACAACTAACTCTATTCCCAATTTTTTTGTTTTCCTTTTTTTATTTAAAAGCGTAACTTTTTACTGAAACTCTGAAGTGCAACATTAATAAACATTGCTTTTTAAGGCAACATCTTGAAAGTAACCTAAATCTAAATGATCATTTATACCTTTCTCACTATAAACATTTTCCAGACTCTTTCCAACCTAATGGTACACAGCCTTGTCCAGTTTCTCCAAGTTTATTGTTCGAGTGAAATAGGTGAGGGAGGTTAAGAGATACAAACTTCCAGTTACAAAATAAATGAATCACAAGAATGAAATGTACAGAATGAGGAATATAGTCAGAAATTACGTAATATCTTTGTGATACGTGACAGATGGTGATCATTTTGTAATGTATAGAAATATCAAATGTACACCAGGAACTAACATGGTGTCTGGATCAATTATACTTCAAAACCAGACAAACTTATCAAAAAAGAGAGGGGGTGGGGAGAGGGGGAATTGGTTGAAGATGGTGAAAATGCTACAAGCTTCCAGTTATAGGATAAATTATTACTAGGGATGTAATGTACAACATGATTAATATAATTAACACCTCTATGTATTATGTATGCAATTTGTTAAGAGAGTAAATCCTGTTTTCTTTTTTTCCTTTGTATCAATATGAGATGATGGATGTTCGCTAAACTTATCATAGTCATTTCGTGCTATATGTAAGTCAGACTGATACAGGAAAAAGAATGTGGGGCGAGAGAATGGTTGAGTCCCTGGGACATGCCCCACCAAGTGTAGGTCCTTGGCTTTCCACAGGAAAGAGATCAACAGCGAGCCACAGTTGAGTAAAGGTAAATTTATTCAGAGAGATACACACTCCACAGACAGAGTGCGGGCCATCTCAGAAGTTGAGGGAGCAAGAGGCCAGGAGGTGTGGTGTTGCTAGTTTTTAATGGGCTGGGTAACTTCATATGCTAACAAGTGGGAGGACTGTTTCTACTACTTTGTGGAAGGGGCTGGGATTCTCAGGAATTGGGCTACCGCCCACTTTTTGCCCTCTCACGGTCAGCCTTGGAACTGTCACGGGACCTGTGGGCGTGCCATGCTAATAATGTATTACAGTGAGAGTGTAACAAGCCCAAGATCGGCTGGAAGTCAAATCTCCCACCGTCTTGGACCTCAAGGCCTGTTGGAAGTTGAATCTTCCGCCACCTTGGTGTTAACGGCTGTGTTGTTTCTTGAATGGCTGTGCCCTGCCCCCTTCCTTCCTATCTCAAGATCATTATGCTGTTTACCTTAAACTTATACAGTGCTATCTGCCAGTTAATCTCAATAAAACTAGAAGGGAGGGAAGGAAGGAAGAAGGAAAGGGTTTACTTTTAACCTTTGTCATAGGAATGAATTCCTAGTTGTGGGTCATTCCTGTGGTTTCATTCTTTCCAAGCTAGCCTCTGGAGTAATTCCCCATAATCTGCGTTTACCGTTCCTTAGTGTTCCTCATTCCTCTGTCTATACAAAGCCAAAGAAAAGTAAAGTGAATTGTGTAAGTAAAGCAATTAGACCTTTCTTTTTTAGGAAAACCTCACTTTTAAGTAGTTTGCCCCATTTTCAGACCACTTGTCGTAATATCTAGTCCAGAAAATAGAGCTTTCATAAACATGTCACTTGTGTTCTATGAGTGTAACCTCCTCTCATATGAAACAACTAGTGTCTCTAAAGTTATACTGGATTTATCCATCAAAGGGAATAGAAAAGAGAGCAGTTTGTAATTCTTCAGTTAATTTGCAGCAATGTTTAATGAACATATACATTTTCCTAGCACCATTTGAAATCTTTCACCAATAGTTTACAAGGGAGTATTTCACAGACTGTTTCCAAAATACATTCCTTACACAGGATATCTTCAACAGTAGTGAACCAAATTGTAGGCAAACGTGAGATAATTTTCATGGCGTGGGTAATTGAGAGAAGTAAATGAAAGTTGGTTCTGTTACCCAAAAACTGGGTTCGCCTCCTGGTGGATATCAAGCCAAAAGACACAACCTAGCCAAAGTGCGGGGGAAGGAAGGATTTATTACTAATTGCAGCAAGTAAGGATAACACCGGGGATCTTTCCCCAAATGGTGTCTCCCCAACAGCAAAACTGGGGAAGTTTTAAGCTCAGAGTATATGCATATTCATGAATGGGCTTTTTCAGAGGATAATTCAGCATAGAATTGGGAGCAAAGATCGACAGAGTCCAACCTTTAGTTGATTGAACTCTGGGGCGTCAGCATCATCCTTCTGTCCTCCACCTGGGTGGGACCTTACTTAGTTCCTGCAGAACTCAAAGATATGTTATTATGTATATCCTCTGAGGAGGAAATAGGGCTTTGCTTTAGCACTGTACTATTGTTTGACTGCCTTTTCTCTGTTCTGCATTCTTTTTTTCCCTTAGATCATTCATTACTAAGACCTATTCAAGGACAAGCATTGCGGCCAGGCTTAGATCCCAAAATGGCTTAGACCAAAATGGCTTCCGTTATGTCAAGAAAGCCATGCCTGGTTCTCTTTCTCTGGAGACCCCCTATACTACCTGCTTATACTTCTAGGGTAGAAAAATCACATTTCCTCCTCAGATTTCCCATGCTACCAATAACTCCGGTAGAATCTCAAGTCATGTACATCATTGATCAAAACTTTATGGGCAGTTGTTACATTTTCTAAGACTTTTTTGAAAAATAAGATGTGAAGCTTTATAACCACTTAATCATTGCTGTATCTGATCTCTCTGTGGCTTTAATTTTATTTTTGCTTATTTAAGTGTTTCTTACCTGCATGAAACCTTCTCCTGATGAGATTGGCAATAAAGCCTAAGTAAAAGATAATTGCCATTTTTCCCTTAAATGATGGCACCATCTTGGCCACAGTGGAAAACAGGACCAACTGTTTTTCACTGAAAACACATATTTTTAGAAGCTGTATGTGTTTTGTTTCAAAATAAGCTTTCACTTGCCGAAGGCAGGGCCTTGATCCAGAGGAATACCAAGAGGAATGAGGAGACTTTCTAGAAAGGATCTAGAAGTGATTGATGGGACAGGCTATCCTGAAAGGGAAGGCCTGGCCCAGGAGAACCGTCAGCAGAGAAACCACACATTGTTGGTGTGTGCCGAGCATTTCTCTGGCGTCTGTCGATTTGGAAGGAAGATGACTTCAACTTCCACCATTCGTTCAGTTCATTTTCACAGCTGTGATGAGACTCTGCTGTGTTCCAGGCACTGGGCTAGTTAATCAGTTGTCCATGAGCTTAAGGCACTCCCACTGGAGATAGAAAACAGGGTCCTCCAAACAGTGCGGTGTAGGTGCTTGTGAGACATGGATTTGGGATCGTGCCCCTCAGACCACTCTTAGGGAAAGGTCCACCCATGTGGGTCATGAATTCAGAGTCCAGACAGGCTGCAGGAAAACAGGCTTTCTGAGACAGGGGGCTGCAGCAGAGATGTTGAGGAGCTCTGGGCCATGGTGATGTGCTCTTCTTCAGATTAAGTTGTGTCATTGCTGAGACTGGATTTTGTTCAAAAGTCAGGCAAGCCTGGTATTTGTGAACATACCCTTCAATACAAGTACACAGATTATGAGTGAATTGGAACTGCTTCATGGGCTCCTACAGGGTCCACAGCTAGGATCAGGGTTAGCTGGCCTCTTACCTGGGACACAAGTGGGTGTGACTCCCCCTGGGCCTCTTGGCAGATAGTGCTGGTAGCAGGACCAAAGCCAAACAGAACTATAGCTGAGTCTGCGAGGGGATGGGCTATTGTCTGCAGCCAGGACCGAAGTTGGCAAGCCTGCCACCTGAGCACAGGCCAGCTTTCTCAAATTGGTCCTCCTCAGTCGTGGCCTCCACCGAGGTTTTGCAAGCCCCTGCCGGGATCTTGAAGCTCCCACAAATATACTTCTGTCCATGGATGGCTGACAATTACTGTCGTTGTAGAGGGGTATGAACAGGGGACCTCTTATTCTACCATCTTACTGACGTCACCTCCAAGATGGTGAGTCTTTCATTTAGCCTATAAATGTTTAATGATGACTTCCTTAAAGTAACTACTTAATGTTATTTTAAAAATCATCTTTAAGGTGCCTTTTTCGCAGTGTCTATCCTTTGCATTGTGCATCTCCTCAGGAATAATGTTTAAGTCTGTTAGATTTTTTTGCCTCCTTTTTAAATTTATTCTATCACATGACCTTTTTAAGCATCTGAATGAGCACTGATTGGTATGGCTTCCCCCTAAACAGTATTGTAATATTTAAAAAAAAAAAAGTAATTGAACATATTTCTAGTTCTTGTAATGGTGGACTGAGTCACTCAGCTAATTTTGTCACATTTCTCTATCCAGGACAAGGTACATGGCCAAGCCTAAAAGCCATGACATAGGGAACCATATGTTTCCAAAACGAAGAGCATCAGATATTTTGAATAGAAGAGAAATTAAGTAATTCTGAACTATTAGTGCCCCTGATGGCTTGGAAAAATAAATACACATTCTCTCAGGATGATAACCTCACCCTAGACTTCAGATAACTACAAAAAGATGTCCAGCAAGGATAACTAGCTGCATGAGGAGATAAGAAACCATGAGTGGTAGCCAGAAGAAATAACAGACAATAGAAATACACCCACAGGAACCAAATATTGGGATTCTCAGAAACAAAGTGGAAAAGAGCTATTTACTGTGTTAAAGGAGGTAAAAGCCAGACTTAGATTTCAGCAGGGCACTATTATAACCTGTCAACAGTGAAATAACAGATGTGAAAATAAACAGAAATTCTAGAGCTGAGAAACACAGTAACCAAATTAATAAATCAGTGGATGGTTTTAACATCAGATTAGACACAGCTAAAGAGTGAATTATCAAAATGGAAGGCAAATCAGAAGAAAGTAATCAAAATGCAACATGGAAAAACAAAAGAATAGAAAACATGAAGAGAAAGGTAAGATACAGAGAACATAGATATTTACATACTAATTAAACTCCCAGAAAAAAATTGATGGAAAAGAAAGTAGAGACAATATTTACATAAAGACTGAAATTTTATCAGAGTTTATGAAAAACATCACACAATTCAAGTCCACAAAATTTCCAGGCAGAATATATTTTTAAAATCCTTATCTAGACACATTATAGTGAAGCTGTAGAAAATTAAAAGCATCTGGAGAAAGAAAACAACATTCATTAAAATTAGTGATAGATTGACAGTAAACTCATTCAGCAGGGGGATTTCAAAATTGTAGAATAGATAAACAAGATTACACTGTATAGCACAGGGAAATATACACAAAATGTTATGATAAATCACAGAGAAAAAAATGTGACAATGAGTGTGTATATGTCCATGAATGACTGAAAAATTC